CTGTGGGGTCCATACGTTTCTCCATTCTTCAGATTGTAGAAATGCAGTTCATTCGCCATATAGTTGAATACGTATCCCCAAACATGTTCATTTTCCAGAAGCCATTTCTCTTCAAGATCTTCGACCGGAGGTGTTTGAACCCGGCACAGATACTGCATCCGTTTCTTGATTGGCGCTCCGGACGGATGGCGGTAAGTTGTCACAGGCGTCTCGCTGATTAAACCCATATCGAGGCGTCTCTTGGCCATTTTTTCTTTTTGGAAAGATGACTTGATGATTGGAAATGACTGGCTTTTTATCTGCACGGGGTTCTTTTTTTTTTATCTCACTCCACCCCTTCGGTCTTCTGACATCACATAATTGGGGCGGGCCCTTCTGTCACTTTTATGCATACTAATGTGATGGAAGCGGCATTTTGTTTTAATAGACTTGGGGGCGGGCCCACCTGTCACTTTTTATGCATACTAATGTGATTGAAACATTTTTTATGATACACCATAAGGCGCAACAGTGGGGGCTTTTCACACCTGTGAATACACATCAACCCCCTCCTATCGACGGATCTCACACCTACTTGAGATCTCACACCTACTTGAGATCTCACACCTCGAACAAAGGGGAGGCGGGACTTAGCTCATTAGCATAAGTAGGTAGAGGTGTGACCTGTCACAGCACCTGTCACTTTCTATGCATACTAATGAGATTGAAGCGGGATGAATAATACTACTGGTGTGCATTGTCCCTGTAAAAATAAACAGAATTAAATACTCTACAGTAGGCATAAAGTGTGTGTGTGTGTTTACAGTATGCCAAGTATCAGACAGAGGAAGACCGACAGGGGAGTGCCACTTGCTCTGCTGCAGGTGGCCTCAGGTGAAGTTCAGGAGGGCAAATCATTCAGGGAAGTGGCAAAGTCCCTGGATATATGCCATGTCACCCTGTACCGGTTCCATAAGAAGAGGCTGAGGTTGGAGAGTCAGGGATCACACACACCCCCAAGAGTAGGCTACTGGACTCCAAAGAAGGTGTTCTCAACAGAGCAGGAGATGCTATTGAGAGACTACCTGATGCAAGCAGCTGATCTATATTATGGTCTCAGCTCAAAGGAGGTAGGTCATAATTAAGGTAGAATAGGCTATCTATAGGCTACTGAACAAAAGAAAAGTAAGTGATCAAATATATTGAGGCCTATAGTGAACAGACAAGTGAAATATTTTCCAATGTATATTCATTTTAGGTGCAGAAGTTTGCCTATGAATTGGCAAAGAACTACAACTGCAACTTCCCTCAAACCTGGGCAGAGAAAGAGATGGCCGGAGCTGACTGGCTCACAACGTTTTTGAAGCGGCACCCTACCCTCTCCATACGCAGACCTCAGGCTACCAGTCTCTCACGGGCTACAAGCTTCAACCAAACAAATGTGAAAAAGTTTTTTGACAACCTGTCTGCAGTCCTGACGAAGCATGAGTTTGTCACACAGGACATTTGGAATATGGACGAAACCGGAGTCACAACTGTCCAAAACCCTGGGAAGATTGTTGCCAGAAAAGGGACGAAACAAGTCGGCAGTGTGACATCTGCAGAGCGAGGCACTCTCGTCACACTTGCATGTGCTGTAAATGCATTGGGGAATTCAATCCCCCCAATGATGATATTCCCCCGGAAGAAGTTTCATCCCTTCTTCACCAGCAATGGCCCTCCTGGCTGTATTGGCACAGCAAATGGGTCTGGGTGGATGCAAGAGGAAGACTTTTTGGTCTTCCTCAAGCACTTCCAGAGCCATACCAAGAGCTCACAGGAGTCAAAGGTGCTGCTGATTCTGGACAATCATTCCTCCCACCTTTCTGTGGAGGGGATTAATTTTTTGCAGGAGCCATGGGATCATCCTCCTCTCTTTTCCTCCCCACTGTTCTCACAAACTACAGCCCTTAGATCGCACTGTATATGGGCCACTGAAGAGGCACATCAACAGCCGCTGTGACAATTGGATGAAGACTCATCCAGGAACCACAATGACCATTTACAATCTGCCGGGCATTGTGAAGAGTGCCCTTCCTCTGGCTGCAACGCCATCAAATATCCAGGCAGTGTTCGCGTGCACTGGAATTTAGCCTTTTAATAGAGACATTTTCAATGACATCGACTTTGCTCCATCCCAAGTCACAGACCGCCCACCACCAGAACCTTCTACCAGTGCAGCTCCAACACCAACTGTGGCATCCTCTCCTCCACTCGCAGCTTCCTCTCCTACACTCGCAGCCTCCTCTCCTCCACTCGCAGCCTCCTCTACTCCACTCGCAGCCTCCTCTCCTCCACTCACAGCCTCCTCTCCTCTACTCGCAGCTTCCTCCCCTGTCAGGCCATGTGTGGAGCCTGGGACATCATCCTCTGCAACGCCTTTCTCACCCTTGTCCATCCGTCCACATCCAAAAGCTGGACCAAGGAAGCAGACCACAGACACTCCGATGAAAGATCAGCTCGAGGCTGAGAAAAAAAGATCTAACGCAAAGAAGTCTAAAGCGAAGACAAACATCTATTTCGGCCAAAAAACCAAACCCAACAAGAAGCAGAAGATGCAGGCCTCATCTGATGAAGATGAGGCCCAATACTGCATTGTGTGCCTGGAGAGCTACTCCAGGTCCAAGGAGATCTGGCTGCAGTGTTGCTCCTGTAAAGCCTGGGCACACAAGGACTGCACAGATGGAATTGCCTTTTACACCTGCCACAACTGTGAATCTGATTAATTCTGGTGTTCTGTTTTAAGTTCTGTTCAAGTTCTGTTCATTGTTCATTGTCTGTTGGAGGATGTGTGAAATCCCATTAAAATCTTGTTGCCTTAGAATTTGACAGCTTTCCCTATTTTTTGTCATATAGTGTGAAAAAGGGTAACCGTTATTAAGATGTTACAACTGTGCCTGCATGGTTTACAACTGTCCCTGTACACAAGGACAGTTGTAACAGTTGAGTTTAAAAAAAAAATACATTTTCCAACCTGTACTTATTCCATAAAAACATCTTAAAGACATTGTTTCAGTAGCTGACATATTGATAATGCATAATATATCAAAATGGCTATCCAATTGTAAATGTTTTTTTACTTATTGGGGAAAAGCCCCAAAAGTGTTGCAACTATCCCTGGTCTCCCCTACTTACTTTATAGCCTAACGTCAGCTTTTTACTTCTGGAGATTTCATTGACGCTTAAAAAATCATAAAGTGGTGTTAGTATTATCCTGGAGAGCAAAGCGTGTAAGTAACATGTGTGTTGGCCAAAGAACTTATTAGCAATATTCCAAAATCAAATGGAAAAATCCCCTTCCTATTTGTCGAGGGAGCCCTTGCAATGCTAATTTCCAGGTCAGCCAACATACTTACGTCATCAGTGCACCACTCTATGGGATAAGGGGACTAATGCAAACCAGGCCTGGAATATACCTCACATTTTTGGAAAGAAAGTTTGTATATGAGCACATTTAGTTGGATAGGACATCCCAGACTGTGGGTGTCCTGGCTGCTCTGCAGGATAATGTGCCCACCATGTAACTGTGAGACTTGTATCCGGTCCCTAAATGTGATCACATCGTGCCCTCGCTGTCTCTCGTCCTGTCTCCGGTCTCTTTATACTGTGAGGCGTCTGCAGATCTTTCCAAAGAACTTAAAGACCTGGATATGGTTTCCGTTTCCTGGGGCGATTGTGGTACAACTGGACGAGTCTCAAAAGTCTTTAGAGACTGTATGAAAATGATTACTGAAGGTCAGAAAAAGGATAATGTTTTTATTTATTGCTTGGCCTCTTTAAAAAGTGTCCTACGCAGATTTGTAAATATTTCAGCCTTCCCTTGTGACACTTAAAGGTGGGGTAGGTAAGTTTGAGAAACCGGCTCGAGATACACTTTTTGTTATATTCCATGGAATGCTCTTAACATCCCGATAGCAATGAATATCTGAAGTGCTTTGACAATAAATACATAAAAAAATATCATCTCTGGAAGCCGTAGTACTGTAAAAAAGCACGACCAATCATCTGAGCCGGCCCGGCTAAAGTAACTGGATGGCCTACCTGCCTGTCAGCCTTCCATCTGTGCACAAATTGATCTCGTGCCCTCATTGGTCATGTGCACGTTCCTGTGTGTTGGAGGAGGGGCTCTGTAAGGAAGTGGCAGATTTTCTCCGGTTATGTATTTTCAAATTCTAGCGCACTCGAGCTGGTTTCTCCAAAATGACCTACCCCACCTTTAATGTTCAGCTTTATTATTGAAAATTGGAAAGGGTCAACCAAAAAGTGTGGTATGTTTGCCATAATAATAGCTAATTGTGAACCTTTGCACACTCCTAAATTATTATCCTACTGGTGTTATGTAGGGACCATTTGCTAGCTATGTTAAAGTAATTTTTGTAAGGAAATATTACATTTTATTACACCCTCTTAAATGCTTTGCACACTTTTACTTTAGGTTATATTGATGTAGCTGTTTGTGAGGTTCATACATCATAAAAATAAGCTTAATGATTTGAGTTATTGAGAAACGGTGTGGTGATATAAGTTTGAATTTCTTCCTTATCCTTGTTGGACATGTCATATTTATTTACATTGTTTAATTATATTGTTTATGAGTTTGATTCATGTCAGATAGCTATATATTTTCAGTCCTTTGTTGTTTTTTTTAAACCTTTTTTGTCGTACAAATAAATCGAAAACATCTCAGTAATTATAATGACACGTGTACTACTAACTGGGAGAGGGCTTTTTCTTTTACATATAAAAACCATCTGCTTCAGTCCTCCTTCTTAACTTAATCATTTTCATAAGGTCCCTTAACGACAACAATTATATCTGATTGTTCGGCTATACCAGATGTAATAGCTGCTATTAAACACATTTAAACACGAAATATTCTCCATATTCTCCAATCAACAAAGATAAAAGAAACAGCCTTCACACACTTGGTGAAACACCTTTTACAGGACACACTTTTCCTTTGTTTTAATGACCTTTATTTCAATGTTCTGCTTGTTTCTAAACCTCCATTAAACCTCCAGCAGCCCCTTCTTATGTTTCTTGATCCCTGTGAACCAGCTCCATATGTGTGTGTGGGAGTCCTGGAACAAGCTCTGTTTATCCTTCTTGTTCTTCCCACTTCCTGGTCAGGAGGGGGTTTGCATGGTAATAAAAGTGTTAAGGTACAATAATGCTTACTGGAGACAGTCTGGGTCAAAGTGAACGAGATGTTTCTTCACTAAGGAGTCTAGTTTCTAATCATTTGGCAGCACGTGTCGAGAACATTGTTTTTCCTAGTTTAGCTGCAGAAAACCATTTTTAGAGAGTTTTTCAGAGTTGTCATGGTGCTATGAAGATATCAAAGGCCATGACATGAGCTGTAGATAAGAGATAAGTAAGGTATGGAGCTGAAAAATGAAAGACTTTGCTTATTGAGTACATGTGAGGGGAGGAGGTGGAGGTAAGGAGGGGCTTCATGCCACACAAGTTGCCCCTGGGGCTTGATGGTCGCGTTGGCTTTGGCAGGAAAGAGGAGGAAGCAGAGAGGAGGGGAGTGTGTGTGTTGTGTGTGTGTGTTGTGTGTTGTGTGTGTGTGTGTGTGGGGTGTGTGTGTTGTTTGTGTTGTGTGTGTGTTGTGTGTGTGGTGTGTGTGTGTGTGGAGGGGGGGCTGTTGAGGGCAGCTCCTGGTGCCACGTTTGCATCACAGAACTGTAATTCCTTTCAGAGCTCAGCAAAGCAGGGCTGGCAGAGGCTGGCTGCTTCATTTCTTTTTAACCCTCTTTTTAAACGGTTGCTGCTTCATTGCCGAACACAGAGTGACATGAAAACATTTGACAACAGTTGTACATCATTTACATTATGGATGTATCAACAGAACTGGGTACGGCGTTGGAGGCCCCCTTTATTTATATGAAGGTTGATTAGTGACCCATGACTCAAGTAGAAAAATACCAGGATCTTCCAGAAAGTGGGCCCATAGAGCATGGCCTTGTGTTTCACTTAAGCCCCGCCTTTAATTCGCTCCCTCACATCCGGTCTCAGCTCAGTCAAATGAATGGAGAGTAAATACCTCTAGATTTAGGACATTTTACAACTTTTAGACCATCATGCTTTAAACAAGGGCCAAGAAAGTGTTTGAACTGTGGTGTTGAAGTCAGTGGGAAAACAACGTTTGGTCCCCAATGACTTCACGGGCTGACACAGAAGTTGTAGTACCATCAGTGTTGGGCAAGTTACTTTTAAAAAGTAACTGGTAATAGTTATAGTTACTGCTCTCAAAAAAGTAACTACACTGAACAAAAATATAAACGCAACACTTTTGTTTTTGCTCCCATTTTTCACAAGATGAACTCAAAGATCTAAAACATTTTCTACATACACAAAATAACCATTTCTCTCAAATATTGTTCAGAAATCTGAAAAAATCTGTGATAGTGAGCACTTCTCCTTTGCCGAGATAATCCATCCCACCTCACAGGTGTGGCATATCAAGACGCTGATTAGACAGCATGATTATTGCACAGGTGTGCCTTAGGCTGGCCACAATAAAAGGCCACTCTGAAACGTGCAGTTTTGCTTTATTGGGGGGGTCTGGGGGGGTCCGAAAACCAGTCAGTATCTGGTGTGAGGGTTAGGATTAGGGTTAGGGTAATGTTGTGAATCGAGTGGCCCATGCTGGTGGTGGGGTTAAAGTATGGGCAGGCGTATGTTATGGACGATGAACACAGGCCACTCGATTCACAACATTACCCTAACCCTAACCCTAACCCTAACCCCACTTAGGGGCAATGGATGTCCACTCTCGGGAGACGACCGACAGTGGTACGGTTACCCAAAGTGACACACCT